GCATGTTAACAAAACTATGTGTGTGATCACAGAGACTATTGTGAAAACTTGGTATTACTTGACATTCCAAATAGCAAAGGAGTAAAAATGTAAAAATCAAGCATTTTTGAAAGATGATTCCTTTCATTTACAGTTGCTTATGGAATTAAATTTTTTTAATAATCTGTCTCTTCAAGACTACAGGAAAAGGTATTTTATTGAAAATTTTACTGTTTTGCAGGTGTGGTCTACCAGTAGAAAAATTAATGTAGTTTACAAAAAATATGTAGAAAAAGGTTTTACTTGGTATCATTTTACAATAAATTTTAATCTTCATTTCCTTGTAGTGACAACATAACTTCCAGAAACACATGTAAATATTTATTTATGGAAAAGACATTTTTAGCAGCAAAAATCCCAATGTTGTGTTAAGCAATGCATTTTGTGATCTCTCCTAGAATTAGTCTAGTGAAAGAACAAAAAAGGTGATGAAATATTTTGTTCTATTTATTTTGAAATAGTTTAGACACAAAAAGCATTATGCTAAATGACTTTTGATATTGAAATTCTACTATTCTATTGATATAAACATTCTACTGTTTATTAATAATGTGCTCATAACTATCAACACAAGAAAAGAGGCTCAATTTCTGCTGTCAACGTCAATGATCAACCTCTTACAGTTCTTAACGAGTAACTAAACTTCCAGCCTGAAAATAAACAAAAATGTTCATGGCAAAAGGGAAAAAACCCACCATCTTTTCAATGGTTGGATATCTTTAAGCAGCAAACTTTAGAAACTTTCTTTCCTCAACCACTGTATAAATTCACAGAACTCTCATATCTAATACTGTGAGGAACACTGACCACCCTCAATTCAGAAAGATCTATTAGGGTTTTTAAAAGGAGATAAGGCAATAAGGATGACCAAAAGCACAGAGTGCCTTTCACAGAAGCTGACTCTGCATCTTGAAGGGATAAATGAATGAAATATAATAGACTGCACAGAATGTAATAGAAATGTGTGAATGTTATACATAGTATAGACAAAGTATATAAGGAATTACATAACACAAGACTAGCACTTCCCAATGAAAATATCAGGGAGTAGGTTTAAAGCAAACAAAGGGTGACAACTCCTCAATATAGCAGATAATTAAATTGTAGAATTCATTTTCACCAAGTTCTGAAGCCAAAAATATAAATAGGTTTAAAATGGGACTGAAAATAGTGATGGTAATTAGATTCCTAGTGGCCATGAAATAAATGCAGCAATATGCATGCAGACATTGCCTCAGGAAGCCACTGAAATACCTGTATTGGAATTAGTCTGTGCATAACCCTCTTCTTATGTGTGTTCTCAGATATTCATTGCTGGGCACTGCCAATACACAATATTACACTAGCTGAATCTTTAGTGCCTCCTAGCATGGGAATCCCTTTCTTTTGATTGGAGCCTAATACCATTACATAATGTTCCAAAATTCATGCAAAAAAAAAATAAACTCCAAGTCAAACCCTTAGACACAAGACCACCAAATCCTAATGAAGACCAATGAGATTCTTCCCTTTATTCAGCACTGATGAGGTCAAACCTAGGATTCTGTGTCCACTTCTGGGCTCCCCAGTTTGAGAGAGACGTGGACATACTGGAGACAGTCCAGCAAAAGGCCAAAAAGATGGTGAAGAGACTGAAGCATCTCTCACATGAGGACAGACAGAGAGCTTGAACTGTTTAGCCTAGAGAAGAAAAAGTTCAGGGAGGGGATCATATCAGTAAATACAAATACCTGGAGCAAGGGTGCAAAGAGAATGGAATCAGGCTCTTTTCAGCAGTGTCCAGTGACAGGACCAGAGGTAATAGGCACAAACTGAAGCACAGGAGATTCCCTCTTAACAGAAGGAAACACTTTTCACTCTAGCACTAGCACATCTATCTCTTACCCACAGAGGTTCTAGAGTCCCCATCCCTGGAGATATTCAAAATGTATCTAAACAACTGGCCCTAGGTGACCCAGCCTGAGAAGGTGGGTTGGACAGGATAACCTCCAGAGGTCTCTTCCAAACTCAACTATCCTGTGATTTTACGGTATAGAATTCATGTCCAAAAGTGTCAGACTAACCCTGCCTCTGCCCATAAGGATACTTGGTCAATGATTTTTCAAAAACACTTTCTCCAGAGCAAAACTGAAATTTTAACATGATACCTTATGTTTTCAGACACTACTGATTCCTTTTCTGCCTCCTCCCACCACATTTTGTCCTCCCCAGAATCACTGTAGACAAGTATTTTCATCAGCAAATGTGGACAGTCAGACAGATCTTGAAATCCATTACAGACTCAGATACTGACAGTGATTTCAAGTGGAAAATGCCCCAATATGTATGGATAGTAATAAAAATTTCTTCATACATCTGTTCTCCTACCCTGTGTCCCACAGTGTTCCCAGGTACAACAGTTCTCTGCAAGTCATTAGTCAGAAAAAGAAATAAAATTGAAAAGTTACATCATTAGCATTTCTGTTCAATTTTCTCCCTGCAAGTTTACAATAATCACAAAAATAAATCCTGATCATTAATAAATTAATGAAATTACCACAAATAAGCAGTGCTGGAAGACACTTTCAAAAGTGTCTTTCAAAAGTGTCTTTTTAAGATACGTTCAAAAGTCACTTAGTCCATTCTCTTGTCCTAGCATAGGACCAGATACACTTTTGTCTCTTCTAGCAGATTTGCCAAACGTGCTCCTTAAGATTTTCACGGCTTCCACACAAGTCCTAGACAAACTTTTTAAGCAAGCATTTTAAGTTTTCTTTCCATGAAAAGTTTTCCCCATCAAGCTCAATTCTCCCTAAGACAACTTCAGCCTACTCCTTTCTCCTGCACCACCAGAGGCATGGAGAAGAGATTATTTCCTTTCATGTTTCAGCAATATTCTGCGTAATTAAAGATTTGTCCATCCTTCATCCCCTGGGATTTCCTCTTCAGGAGGCTCAATCACCTCATGTGTTTGATTCTTTAATACATATGTTTATAGACATTTAATTACTCATTCTTATTACTCTCCACTGAATTTCATCTTCTCCACATAACTTTTGAAGAATGTTGTCCAAAGAAGGGTATGCCATTCCAGGTGAGATCTTAGCAAAGCTTAGCAGTGTGGCAACTTCTGCATGGTGCTTCCTGGTTACTGTCTGCACATTCCTGTATGACATTAATCTCTTTAACAATACTGGCTACAGCTCAACTTACATACTATAATGGCTCTCTGATTCTCTGCCAAAGAATATCTCCCTACACCATTTTCCTTAATCCTATGTCAACCACATAAACCACCCCTACATAACTACACCACTTTGCATTTATGCTTTTGAATGGCATCATCACATCATAACCATAGCTTTGGTTTTTAAGGATAATTTTTAATATAGTCCTGCCATTAGATGTTACTCTTCTCCCAGTCTTATGCTATCTGCAAGTTCATTGAGTACACAAATTAGTTAATTTGTTAATTACATAATAAAAACACTGAAAAAAGCCAGTTCCCAAAGAGGTCACTGTTCAAAAAAAATATTCCATAATAACAGTAACCATTTATAAATAGTTTTTGTCATCTGTAACTTAACTGTTTACACTGCCTTTATAGTATTTTTGGTTTCTTGAAAGCCATATGCTTCATATGTACAAGTAGAACAAACTTTGCTGAGTTAAGGAAACTGGGAATACAAAGGAGGTACTGAGGTGTTGTGAACAAAATGTAATATTGCCAGTATCTAACAATAACCAATAAAGAAAATATTCACTATCCATATTATATACAATTTTATAAGAACTTAAATGAGAATATCAGAAACAGAGCTCAGAATAATACACTGTTTTACAGAATATCAATTTTGAGTCCTATTTTTCCATTTTAATTTTTGACAATTTCTTACTGTGTATTCAAAAAGTATATCTGTCACGGTTTGGGAGCCCCAAAAATTTAATTTCCAATTTCCAATTAACCACTTTCCAACTCCAGGGGGAAACCCTTTTTAACCCATGACAATATCATAGCTTTCATGACCCACAAGTATGAAGGTCCACTTAAATATACATATTAAAAAACAAACTAAAACTGATTCTGCTTGGAAAATAATTAACAAGTTTTATGCAAGCTTTAAACCAATTGTGCACAAGTTCAAAAGCAAACATTTCTTTTATCATGTGAACTTACAAGGCATTCACCTTTAGAAGAAAGGAAAAACAGCAACTAAACTGTTTAAAGCTTAAATAAAATCAGAAGTAACATTTTAAGAATTTGAAAATTTAGAATAATAAATTTTTTTGGGGTTGTCTTTATGAAAGGAATATTTTCAGCTCAGTGCTTTAAGTTCTACTCTAAGACTGAATATCCTAGCTTTGCCAGTTTCTGTTAAATCTTAAAATTTTCAAATAGCAAAAAAAGTAATGACTTAACAATACAAGGTCTGTGGATGAAATACTGGCCTCTTAACTGACCCAAGATTTCACCTTATATCTGCTAAAGTTCTGAAACTTTACAGATATTTTAAAAGCATGAAAAAAATGAAAGGACATTTTCCTGGTCCTTGGAAATTTCTTCATACATATTATGTATATTCATATAGCATTCTATGCATAAACAATATCACAAATACCATGCATGTGCATAGACATGCTATACATAATACTACGTCTTATCATTCCAGCTCTTCATGCACAGAAAACACATCACTTCACTGGGAGCTTCATATATGGAACATTTGCAGAAAAAAAAGACAAACGAAGCAGCAGTAACTCCTTCAAGTGTACTCTGATGTAATCTCTTATGTTACTGACAAGGAGAGCAAAACCTGATTTTTGGTTTTCCCTTTGCAAATGAGGGTTGGAAAGCACATGGTGTTCACCTTATAAAATGCCCTCAGCTGAGTGTTCTAAATGGCAATTACTTCAAACATACTCTCCAGTATGTTCTAATGCTATACAGACATTACTTAGTCTACAGAGAGCAGCTTACTTACGTCTGGGGCTCCTTTTCATTTTGCTGTTTTTGCTGTGGTTGGAGAACGTTATTTACCAGCTCAGTGATCCCACTAAAGGGAAACCACCTGTTTAAACAAGCAAATAATGTGACTGAATAACCAACAAAACCACACTAGTTTAAATGTTTTCTTATTCAACACTATTAGAAATACACAGGCGGAAAAGCTAGAGCCGATGGGAATGTTAGCTGCAGAACTAAGTCAGCCACTAAGGATGTAAGGGAAGTAAAGTTTTACAATTCACCAGGTCACAAGCAGGCAGCAAGAACCTACATCCAGCTAACATGTGGATGGAGTAAGAAGCTGCAGGCAGCTCTCTTACAAGCCAGTCAGGAAGCAGATGACAAACTACCTGCAGCCTATCAGGTATCAGTGAAAGCTAATACCATCAAAGGTGCAGAGAGCAGAACATGGCAAAGGTAGAAAAGTCAAGCCTATTGCATCTTTCAGATATTTTACTTACTGTGTCGACTGTGGTTTTTGCTCTTCTTTGACCCTAAAAAGATAAGTTTGCACAACTGAGTGCAACGTGTTGTAAAACAACGACCCTAAAGTTCTAAAATCTCTATTAAATGGGCTGGGGAAAGTTCCCACTTTGAGTTAAAAGGATTTTCTTTAATATTTGTTTATGTTTACATTAAATTGTACTCTGGACTTGTTTGCATTTAGGATTAAAAATTGAGAATGCCAAGTATAGGAAACTTATAGTTGCAAAATTAAATTGGTAATGTTCTATAACTGACTTTCAATTCTTTGCACACAATATCATGTTAAAACATTTCCAGGAATACATTCAGCTATAAATGCAGAGGAAGGTGCTTTGATTATGTAAACTACAATCTATTTTTTTATTTTTATTTACAACTGAACTGCCTATCATAGTTCAAGGTGAATTTGTAACATGTAACGTGCCATTTAAAACGAAATATCCTAAACTAATAGATTAAAGGAAAATCTCCACTACATTTATTAAACTACAGTGATATCAAGACCTGCAGACAATGTAACTCTAAAAACTAAGGAAGGAAAGCTAGGGAATTTTACTCTTGAGTGAACTTTACTAGGACTTGCTTAAAGAAATAAGTAGATAATACACACAGTAGGCCTGTTTAATATTGATTAATATTTGTCCACTGCATTTAGGAAAACATTCCATCTGAAACACATGCTTTAACTTGAGTGATCAAGGTGATGTTCTAAACCAAACCCCAGAATAGAGACATATACTCACAGAAATATTTATATCCTCAAATTGCAGGTATTGGTCTTAAATATTAAGTTAGGATCTGCTTTCCCTGGGTGTTAAAAAAACCCAAAAATGCTCCTAAATAGATATTCTGAATGTCTCTAAAGAGAATACTCTCACTTATTTAACAGGAAGTTCAGGCTTGTAATTTAGGTGGATTCTTAGGGTTGCACAGAAAATTAAAGCTCATCAAAATAGCTCCACATCTCCTTCACTATATGATACCACAGGGAATATCTCTATGAACAGGATTCAGTGACTAAACAAGAACTAAATAAATGGATGATAAGAAATACTAAAATCTTTCCAAAGCTTTTCCTATACAAAAGGAAAACTGAACATTCAACACACAGTAAAATGTCTTCAAGCATGGTTTTGCCTCTTCAGCATGTTAGAAATTTTATACAAAGAAATGTTCCAGTACCAAAACAAAGCAAACAAATAAGTAAACAAACAATCCCACAAAAACAAGCAGGTATATTCCAAAGAAATAAAAAATGTGAAAATAAAAATTCCTCATGCAGTTGCAATTCCACTCTACCATGCATCTTAATCATAATATTGTCTTTAATCAAGAGAATCCACACTAGTTTTCCAACATAGAAATTCAAAGCTGGAGGAGTGGGAAGGGCAGGGAATCAAAGCATTTTCATACTTTTTCACTATGTAGGCCAGGACTTTTAATTTAGATCCCCCAAAATTACAGCCTTAAAGCTCTATATGGTCAGCTGTGAGAAGGAAACACGCTCAGACAATAATTCAAAGCTCCTAAGTCACATACATAGAACTAAACACCGTAAATTTGATCTTTCTGACAACTGGACAAAGAACACTGAATATACCACTAATCCTTATATTCCTCTCCGTATATGACTTCCAGACAAACTGCACACTTTTAAGTTATTTCTTCATTGTGAATTTTTCTGTTGAAGTAAATAAAGGAAATCTGAGCCCTTCACATGATCAGATTACAACCAACATCTTTCCTTTGGGTACTGATCATGGTTAATATTTCTTCACACGTAGAACTGAGATCAGAATAGTGTAAAATCAAAATTGTAATACTGCACACTAATTCTAAGTGTGTAGTTTGAAATTTTGGTATTTTTTTTCAACAGGATCTAGAATCTTTACATAATAGTATATATATGATGACTTCAAATGCAGCTGCAAACCCTTGGTATTTTTGAAAATCTTACAATCAGTTTTTAGTTTTGCACCATTCAATAAAACACATTGTCCAAAAGCAGACACTTTGAAAACCTGCATTTAAAATTATTTGCTCAGCATTTTATAGGAACATGCTGTTTTAAGGCAGTATATAATTTGACCCTACAATTCAAAATATCTCTCTTATAAATTAATCTTTTCTCCTCCCACAATTCTCTGTCTCATTCACTATACACTTTCCAACACTGCAGTTATGTGAGGACAAGAGCTTCCATTATTATATAACAGTGACGCATTCCTTGAGCACTCTCCATACATCCTTCAGTCCCTGGATTAGGCAATGATCTTCCTTGACTTTATAACAAGCATGGAAGGCAAATTACAGTTTGAAAAGAAATTACAAAAAAATCTATTTAATACATTCTACCATATGAAATTAAACAAATATTGACCTTGTGGATCAACAAGCCTGAACCTTTCAGGTGTACAGCTCAGGTATTTATCTTTCAAGGCCAGAGAATGGAGAGAGATTCTGAAGCTAGATCAGAAAACCACAGACTAATTTCTTCTGCTTTCTTTCCAAAAGACTCTTCATTCAGATGAAATTAGAAGTTGTAGTAACTGATAGAAATAATGATTTATTAGATAAAACACACAGAATGTATTTTTAACACTGCTGTGGTTTAAATATTTTTTCCAGACAGAAAAGGGCTGAAGAGACTCCAGATACTTGAACCCTGTCTACATATACACATACAGCTTATTTCCTTCGGTTACAAGAACTTCTTTGTGTTTCACTGGATTGTGTAGTCCCATATTTATGCAATGATTTCTCCCCTCCTTTCAAAGATCAGAAACTAATAATTGCTTAAAAGAAGTGTATCGCCAGGTCGGAAAAATCCCAAACCTCCATTTTCTCAACAGACTAACTGAAAGACCCCAAGTAGAATGACTACATTCTGCTTCTTCCAGACTACCTGTCTTCATTTTACCTTCTTATGTCTTTTCAACTCTATTTGCTCAAAACTCTGCCAAGAACAATGCCAGTTCTCATCATTCATTAAAAACAAACTCTGATCAATATCTGTTTACTAAAACCAACAAGAGGCTGCAGACAATGTGTCGGATCAACAGTGACAGACAATGCATTCTAACAGTGCAGAATATTAAATATTTTACCACTTATTCTAAAATGTTAGAGGAGTCTGAAGCTTTTGTCAAGGTTTTTTTGTTTGCACAGATCATAACTGCATACACTCTTTCACTTGAAAACAAGCCAGGATTTTTCTACTTGCTAACAGGAATTTTTACACCTTGCACTTTGTTATCAGGAATCTCTACCCTCAAAACACACATAGCACCATTACTCCCGTGTTCCTCTGTAAGCCTACACAGTGCCAGTGCCAGATCCCTTTGATCTTTTCCAGTAGCTAGAATTGTTGTTAGATTTCAAGTCTCATGAACACTTTTTGATGTTAGACCTTCTCCACGTACCAAAAATTTCCTCAAAGATTAAGGCTATTCCCACCAGCACAGAGAATGAATAGAAGAAGAGAACAGAAAGAAGAGGGAGGAGAACAAGAAAAATGGAAGCAGGAGACAAAGTAATGAAAACATCAACATAAAAATTATTCTTATTCCTTTAAACTCATAATACCTTTATTTTTCAATCTACTGCCACCAATAAAAGCTTCTCTCTAAAATCTACTATGTCAAAACCATAAAACATTCTTTCCAAAAGATGTGTTGCACACAGGTAAGTTAACGAGCACTCTGTTACCAGAGCTCATCTGTACTTTTACATACTTGGATGTATAGCCACAAAAACATGGGGGTAGAATTCAGGTGCCTCAATCCATGAAAATGACCCTTAAAACACACTGTACACCTCCTAGATATCTGAAATAAAACAGGTATCTAGCTCTTCTCAAATGAAGTTTGGGGAAATCCAAATTTTGGAATCAGCCATCCTTGGCAGGCATAAACGTCTTAATATCTATATCTAATGCAACAACACTCAAGATTCACAATTTTGCCATCCATGGACCTACAAGGACAAGGAGATCTGATATGCAGGAATAAAAAGTTATAAGTAGATATGAACTATTCCAAAATCTTTTGGTAATTCACAACTGTCTTCTTAATGGAAAACTAGTGAAAAGATTTTAATGAATGTATGTAACTGGCTTTCTCTGCAACTTATATATTCCCATTCTCAAAGTATACAAACATCATAATCTCTAAAAGTATTTCCCATCACCAATATTTCTTAATATAGAATAACTTCCTCCCCTTGAACTTACACCCTGGAAAATGGCACTGAAAATAAAATAGGACTTAAAGAAACAATGATAAAACTCTAATCTCCCTTCCCTCTCCCCTCCGTGTGGCTCCCATTCTTTCTCAACAAAAAATGACATTCAGTGCATAACTATATTCAAACCCTTGTGGGGTTGCCCATTCCCTTCGTCAAACTAGGATCTGAACTGAAAAAGGGATAAGATCATCAGCTCCAGCCACACTCTAAGGTTTCCACCACTCTGTCTTAGAATTAAAGGTCCGTGGATTCATTTTCCTAGATTTTTTACTTTTCTTTTTCTAAATCGATTATACGCCCTACATCAAATGCCAAAAAAAAAAAAAGGATTAGTTGCAGTGACTGCAGTGACTGCAGTGACTACAGTCCCACGTTGGAGGTCAAGACATGTGACACATGCACAATATATAACTTTGCCAGCACCCACTCTTGACAAAACAGTCGAGTTAACAGATATAGTCAAATACATGTACAATCAACTATTTTCTTGAAAGAGTGCAACTCTATGAGATTAATTAAGTTAAATTATATAAGTATGTTTAACTCCAAGAAAAGAGAGATAAGGTCAAACATAAATCCATGTCAATTGCAAAACTGTAAAATATCTACATATTAACTGAATTGATTCTCTGCATTGATTATCCTATAGAGGCTATAAGAACATATACCTTAGAATATGTAGCTTATCTATTTTTGATCAAAATTAAAGTCTTTATTTTATATGACTGCTCCAAGTTTTGTATTAATTCAGAGAGTATAGGTA